TTCAGCGGGATGTTGTACAGGGGGGCCTTGATGCTGTGCGGGGTCCACTCCGCCACGAGCCTGGGCATCTCCTGGATCGCCGCGGTGGTGCCGGCGACGGCCGCCTTGATGCTGTTCGGGATCCACTCCGCCATGCTCTCGAACATCTCCTGGATCCTCGCGGAGTTGCTGGCGAAGGCCAACGCCATCTTGAAGTCCTTCAGCGGGACGTTGCTCACGGACGCCTTGATGCTGTCCGGGATCCACTCCGCCGCGCGCTTCAGCCCCTCCTGGATCGTCGTGGAGTTGCCGGCGGCGACGACCGAGGCCTTGATGTCGTTCAGCGGGATGTTGTGCAGGGGGGCCTTGATGCAGTTCGGGGTCCACTCCGCCACGAGCCTGAACATCTCCTGGGTCGCCGTGGAGTTGCCGGCGACGGACGCCATGATGCTGTTCGCGATCCACTCCGCCGTGCTCTCGAACATCTCCTGGGTCCTCGCGGAGTTGCTGGCGAAGGCCACCACCATCTTGAGGCCCTCCAGCGGGATGTCGCTCACGGACGCCTTGATGTTGTCCGGGATCCACTCCGCCGCGCGCTTCAACCCCTCCTGGATCGTCGTGGAGTTGCTGGCGAAGACCACCGCCATTTTGAGATCCTTCAGGGGGATGTCGTACTCGGGGGCCTTGATATTGTTCGAGATCTGGTCCGCCGTGAGCTGGAACATCTCCTGGATCGTCGCGGAGTCGCGGGCGAAGGTCACCACCATTTCGAGGTCCTTCAGCGGGATGTCGCACGCGGACGCCTTGATGTTGTTCGTGATCCACCCCGCCACGCTCTCGATCATCTCCTGGATCGACGTGGAGTCGTCGTTGACGGCCGCCAGAGGTTACGCCTGGCAGGCGGATGGCTCGTTGTTCGTCTGGTTTGTCGTGAACCTGTGCTGTGGGTGCGCTGTCGCGCAAGCCGTCTGGACAAGAATTCGCATGTTTACTCAGTGTTGCCGAATTCTCTGTGATGGTGTGTGACAGACCTCCGTTAGGACAGCCTTCGCGTTGTCATAACTTGTTGATGCTTCGCACGAGTGACAATTAATGTAAATGTCATCGAGGTGCGTTATGACTTCTGCTCCCGGAGGCAAGCTGGCCCGAATGCGTCGTGGGCTGGTTCTCCCCCGTCGGTTTGAAATACATGTTGCGCCTGCCCGGCGTCGTTCTTCCATTTGAACCAAGATCGTACACCATGGCATTGTTTTACAAAGTGGAGTTGGCTTTGCAACGAACTATTTCCCGATAGCTCTTCAAACATGCGATCTCTCCAAATATGATCTTATTTGGGCCGTTGTCAGACATGTACTGAAACAAGTGAATGGCCGCATCTGTTCTGCACCGGGATCTCGAAACTAATCGGCGAAATTATTGTTCAGAGACGTTGTTGGTTGGAGGTTCCGAATCACAGACCGAAGGTTGAATCGCAAACGGCGCGCGCCGAATGACAGACAGCGCGTGCTGAATCACGAACAACACACACTGAATCAGAGACTCCGCACGCCAAATCAGAGGCTCCGTACGCCGAAACAGAGATTCCGCGCGTCAGATCAGAGACCCCCCACGCCGAATCCGAAATTCCGCGCGCCGAATCAAAGACTCCGCGCGCGGAATCAGAGACTCCGCGCGCCGAATCAGAGACTCCGCGCGCCGAATCAAGACTCTGCCCGCCAAATCAAAGACTCTGCCCGCCGAATCAGCAATTCTGCCTGCTGAATCAGACTCCGCCCGCTTAAACAGAGACTCCGCCGGCCGAGTCACAGACTCCGGCCGCCTTCTTCTTGTACTCTCCCATCCAAGGCGGCTTACTTTTTCGATGATCCGGTTGATCCAGTGATCCGGCCAGCTGATCTGGTGACCTCGTGACCCGGTGTTGAGGCCAACTGATCCGGTGATCCGGCAAATCCGGCTGATCCAATTAACTGATCCGGTAAGCCAATGATGTGGTGTTACGGCCAATTGATCCGGTGATCCGGCTGATCCGGTGATTTGGCTGATCCAGCCAGCTGATCCGGTGATCAGATGACCCCATGTTGTGGCCAATTGATCCAACTGATTCAGTGGTCGGGTTAGCTGATCCGGTGATCTGGTGGCATGGTATTGTGGCCAACTGATCTGGTGATCCGGTTGATCGGTGATCCGGCTGATCTGGCCAACTGATTTGGTGATGTGATGATCTGGTGATCCAGGGTTGTGGCCAACTGATCCAATGATCCCTCGTTGTGGCGAAATTGTTCCGGTGATCCGGCTGTTTTTGTGATGGGGTCAGTTGATCCGGTGACCTAGTACTTAGTGTTGTGGCCAATTGATCCAATGATCCGGGGATCTGGTGTTCTGGCCAATGGATGTGGTGATCCGGTTGAGCTGGTTGAACGGATTGTTGCTCTGGTGATTTGGCAATCCCGTTAAAGAAAACTTCTAGTCCGGGTTGTTCCGTGCGCCCAGCCTTCACGCTGGAATTCTAAGAGGGAAGAGAGGAGGAAAAAGAGGAAGAAGGAAACAACAACAATTTGCAACACAATGTTTGTGTACACCACAATGCTTGCGTGCACCGCAATTTGCATACCCCAGCGTTTGTGTACAACACAGCATCCGTGTGCAACGCAGCGCGGGTGTGCATCACAATGCTTGCACGCAAATGCCATTATATGCGCAGCACTTGGTGTATATTGGTATTGTGTTTCACGCGGGTGGTGTGATAAGTGCAAGCGTTGTGGTGTACGCAAGCGTTGTGGTGTACGCAAGCGTTGTGATGTACACAAGCGTTGTGGTGCATGCGGGCGGGCATTATGGTACACGCTGACGTTGCGTTGCACGCGGTTGCTGACGTGAACATAAGCGGTATGGTGTACACAAGCGTTGTGGTGCCCACAGATTACAACCGTTATCGGCCTCGAATTGAAAAACACATTGAAAACAGATGAACGTGAAAAAGAATGAAAAAGGGGACCAAGGGACGAGGGGGAAGGCTGAGGGAGGACGACCAGGAAAGGAGGAGAAAAACATGAGGGCTGCTTCTGCGTTCGGCGCGTGCGTTCGGAATGTTTGAGGGGGTCAGGTCTGTAGGGGGCCCGCAGGGGCATCAGGAGGGCCGTCTTAATTGCTCGTCGCCGTGGCTCTTGGTTCGCCCATTCTCGCGTCAACGTGCTCTTGACGCGCGAAATGTCTGACCCAAATTTTCGTTGCACCGTGGGCCCACCCTGACTTCCATCTTGAAATTTGAACTGTGAGGGCGTGTCCTAGGGTTTCATGGCAAACGGCGGTCTAACACGTCTGGGCAAATGCCGCAATCGACTTGCGTAAACTAGTTTTAATGACATGCGAAACAGATCACCTGATTATATGGTGCACTGAAACGAGCTTGCGTTAATCTACTGCCAAAAAGATCGGGCAAGCCAACGCCCGTAGAACGTAGCCGCGTTTACGCAAAGGTAGCCTACAATAAGTCTGCATTTCCGCGAGACGTTGTCGCACGCCTGGTGTGTAAACCTCACTGCAGCAACGCCAAAATTGACAAAACGGCTTGACATCGAACTACGCAAGCCGGCCCAATGCTGCCGTGCGCGCGTGGCGTCGCAGAGGCTGCCCACGTTGCCCTTCTCCACGAGCAACCCCAGGAGGAGGAGGAGGGAGGAGGAGGAGGAGGAGGAGGAGGAGGAGGAGGAGGAGGAAGAGGAGAGGAGGAGGAGGAGGAGGAGGAGGAGGAGGTGGAGGAGGAGGAGGAGGGGGAGGAAGAGGAGGAGGAGGAGGAGAAGGAGGTGGAGGAGGAGGAGGAGGAGGAAGAGGAAGAGGAGGGCCCGACGCCGTCGGGCGCGCGCGGTGGCGCAGAGGCCGTGCCCGCTACTTCTTTTCCGCAGGGAGCGACCCTGCGCCTCCGCGCGCGCGGCGGCGCAGGGGCCGTCCACATTTGTCAGCACCCACCAAACGACCCCAACCCAGTCCGAAGGCCTCAATTTTCCCTCCATTTCCAGTGGGGGGGGGATCGGGGAACATTGAAAAAACACATGGAACCCGTGCCCCCCCCCCACCCGAAAGTCGGGTCAGATGCGGCTCTTCGGGTTGGGTTGGGGTGGTCTGGTAGGTAGTCAATTTGCATTATTGGCGCAAGCAGCCCAGCGCCGCCACGCATGCGGCGGCGCAAAGGTTGCCACCGTGATTGTGTGTTTCAGGTTCCATGTCATGTCCCAGATTCGCAATACATTATTGTCCAGCAAATTCGGGGCATGACAGTGGATATGAGACCGGTTGTGTGGAGATATTGGCATTGTAATTGTCGCCAACACCGTCCGTGATACATGTACGTATTTTTACTACAAAAAACAACAAACAACGATTTCTTGATAAAACCGGAAAATGAGAAATTTATGGGGGGGCAAATCCGCAAAAGTGGAAAATCGGGTCCCCCCCAACATATCAATTGTAAAAACGCAAGTCTGTGTGCAATTATATGGAAATTGTGGTCCGCAACTATGCAAACCTAAGTTCGCTGTTATAGAAACTCAGGTCTGTCATTACCGAAAACAATGATCGGATATGAAAATCTCTGTCCAATCATATAATCCATTGCGATCATTTCTCCCAGCGGTTTCCGATAATCTGCGCTGCTTGCATTCGGATGAATGATTTGTGATTCGGTACGTGTGGTTTTGTGATTGGTCTCACAGTATATGATTCGTCGTGTGCAATCTGTGATTCAAATTGTGCGGTTTGTGATTGTCCCGTGCAGTCTGTGATTCTTTGTACGTTGTTTACGATTCGTTGCATGCGGTTTGTGATGCAATATTATTGTTTGTGATTCGCCGCGCGCAATCTGTGATTCAATGTGTGTTGTTTGTGATTCGGTGCGCGCGGTTCGTCGGGCGTGGTTTGTGATTCAACGTTTGGTCTGTATTCGGAACTTGCTGTGTTGATAGAATTGACGTGCAAGAGTTGGGGCCAGCAAACGTCGGACGGTGCTACCGCAGAATATCGCCCGAATGCGGGAATTGGATTTAAGTTTCGCCATGAACGATTACATGAATATGACGTCTCGGATGACTAACGGGATGTCGCTTTTGCCCTTTTGTTCGCCACTGCATGCAATGCGTCAGAGGTTTCGGCTTCGAAACAACATTACCTAACAGCGAAGACTGATAGGCTTCTAGTAGGGTCAAAAGAGAGAGAGAGAGAGAGAGAGAGAGAAAGAGAGAGAGAGAGAGAGCATCATGACTCCCCAGGGGGGCTGGGCGGGATCCGGGCGGGTGCCGCGGAAAACCGGGGATTCCTTTTTTAGCCAACTGTAACGCACTTCGTGGTCTTCGAGTTCCCAGAATTCCGTTCCTGGGCATGATTTGAATGCCCGGAGCCAACTGTAGGCTACTTCGTGGTCTTCGAGTTCCCAGAACTCCATTCCTGGGCATGATTTGAATGCCCGGAGCCAACTGTAGGCCACTTCGTGGTCTTCGAGTTCCCAGAACTCCATTCCTGGGCATGATTTTGAATGCCCGGAGCCAACTGTAGGCCACTTCGTGGTCTTCGAGTTCCCAGAACTCCATTCCTGGGCATGATTTTGAATGCCCGGAGCCAACTGTAGGCCACTTCGTGTTCTTCGAGTTCCCAGAACTCCATTCCCGGGCCACATTTTGAATGCTGAGGCAGGCTGAGGCTGAGGCTGAGGCAGGCTGAGGCTGAGGCAGGCTGAGGCTGAGGCCGAGGCTGATGAGGCTGAGGCTGAGCAGCTGAGGCTGAGGCTGAGGCAGGCTGAGGCTGAGGCTGAGGCAGGCTGATGCTGAGGCAGGCTGAGGCTGAGGCTGAGGCTGATGCAGGCTGAGGCTGAGGCAGGCTGAGGCTGAGGCCGAGGCTGAAGGCAGACTGAGGCTGAGGCTGAAGCAGGCTGAGGCTGAGGCTGAGGCAGGCTGAGGCTGAGGCTGAGGCAGGCTGATGCTGAGGCAGGCTGAGGCTGAGGCTGAGGCTGATGCAGGCTGAGGCTGAGGCAGGCTGAGGCTGAGGCCGAGGCTGAAGGCAGACTGAGCTGAGGCTGAAGCAGGCTGAGGCTGAGGCTGAGGCAGGCTGAGGCTGAGGCAGGCTGAGGCTGAGGCTGAGGCAGGCTGAGGCTGAGGCTGTGACTGCGACTGCCGTTGCCACTGCGACTGTCATCGCGAATGCGACTACGACTGCGAGAACAGCAGAATTCTACAACTGGATTATCATTTGAATCTTAAGGGGAATGCTTCCAGGTATGCTGGTACACATGGCTGTTAGGTTGCTTTGCTGGGATAATTTTAGTGTGCATAACTGTTATTCCAAACCCCCTCGTGGTTTATCTTAAGAATGACGTCGTCGAGCATTGCCAGGAAGTTTTTGAAGGGCAATACAAATGAACATTCCCCTCATATGTGATCGATTGCCTCCAAAGTGGCCCAAGAGTGCTCCCAAGGCTCCGCGCGCCAGGTGCGCAGCAGCAAAGTGTGCATGTCATGTCCTGGCCGCTCTTTTTTTGTTCCATTTTTAACATCAGGAACAACCGATCGCCCTTGTCAACCCCAAGATTATCCCATACGAGCACCACAAGAGACCGGCCAGGGTACAACATCGCCCGGCCGCCAGCCCCCTTGCGTAAACGTCTGCGGGCGCTTCGGGCAAAGCCTGACAAGGGAACCTTCGGGGAAAGCCATGGGACACGTGGCGCTAACCGAGACATGGTTCTCCATGCTGCCGCTGCAGACTGGATGAACAATGCCACTCCTCCTCCCAATAATTACCCTTCCTCACCTCTGGCCCTTCTTCCCTCTGGACCTCCTCCTCCTCCTCCTCCTCCTCCTCCTGTTCCGCCTCCCTCATCTTCTCCCGCGAAAAAGCACTTTCTGTATTGCAGTGGCTCGTGCAGACTCTGGCTCGGAGCATCCTTGGGCATCTCGTGCGTCGACATCGATCAGACTGGCCACAGAGGCGGAGCTGCGCACTCGTCGCCGCTGCGCCCGATCCTCCTCCTCGATCCTCCTCCTCCTCGATCCTCCTCCTCGACCGACGGCCGAAGCGAGCGGGCGGACCCTCGCGAGCTGGCATGCTGGCGCCCGAACCTGCGGGCCCAGACCCCCGACGTCGTGACTTCTGCACGACGCCCACCGCCAGAGGTCCCGACCCCTTCCCCGGGACCGGCTCTTCCTCCCGAATCGTTGGTTGACGGTCCCGAGGCCCGGGAGGGGCCCCCGGAGGCCGAAAACGGCGACAAACCTCCCGTCGTGATTTTTTCACGGTCCCGAGGCCCGGGGAAGGGCCCCCGGAGGCCGAAAACGGCGACAAACCCCCCGTCGTGATTTTTTTTTCAGTCCCGAGGCCCGGGGAAGGGCCCCCGGAGGCCGAAAACGGCGACAAACCCCCCGTCGTGATTTTTTTTCACGGTCCCGAGGCCCGGGAGGGGCCCCCGGAGGCCGAGAACGGCGACAAACCCCCCGTCGTGATTTTTTTTCACGGTCCCGAGGCCCGGGGAAGGGCCCCCGGAGGCCGAAAACGGCGACGAACCCCCCGTCGTGATTTTTTTTAAGTCCCGAGGCCCGGGGAGGGGCCCCCGGAGGCCGAGAACGGCGACAAACCCCCCGTCGTGATTTTTGCACGGTCCCGAGGCCCGGGGAAGGGGCCCCCGGAGGCCCTTCGAACAGCGAAAAGCACCTCCCGTCGTGATTTGTTCCCGACGCGAGGGGGGTCTGGGCGCGCGCCCCCGGCTCGCCCGTCGAGGTCCGCAGGAGGAGGTCGGCAGCAAGCCCGCCCGTGTTGCTGCCCCGCCCAACCCGCCCATATATATATATATATATATATATATTATGTGTATATATAAATGTATGTATACATATAGTTACATACATATATATATATATATATATATGCATATGTACATGCTTCTACACGTATATATTTTTATACCTACATATATGTACTTATATATACACATATATGTATATATACTTATATATATATATATGTGTATATATATATGTATCTATGTACATAAACATACCTGCATATACACATGTATATATTTACACGTGTCCATATTCGTACATATATATACATTCGTGTGTGTATGTATATGGACATATCGATCGGTCCGCAAGTTCGGGTATCCGCAAGCCCGCCCGCCCGGCTCGCCTGCCAGGCTCCGCCGCAGGCCGCCCCGCCCGTGGGAGGAACGCCCCGCCCGGCGGGGTCCGCCCGCCCAGACCCGCCCGCGAGGGTCCGCCCGCTCGCTTCGGCCGTCGGTCGAGGAGGAGGAGGAGGACGAGGAGGAGGAGGAGGAGGAGGAGGATCCAGGAGGAGGAGGAGGAGGAGGAGAGGAGGAGGAGGAGGAGGAGGAGGAGGACGTTTCCCCAGACCCCCTCGCGCCGTGAAAAACGCACGACGGGAGGTTCTTCGCTGTTTTCGGCCTCCGCGGGGCCCTCCCCTCGCGTCGTGAAGAAATCGCGACGGGAGGTTTCGCGCCGTTTTCGGCCTCCGGGGGCCCGTCCCGGGCCTCGGGCGCGCCAAAAAACGCCTCGGGAGGAAGAGCCGGTCCCGGGTCCGGGGGTGGGCGTTGTGCAGAAAAACACGACGTCGGGCGTCTGGGTCCGCAGGTTCGGGCGCCAGCATGCCAGCCCGCCCGCTCGCTCGCTCTCGCGCCCGACCGGGTCCGTGCGACCGACCCGTCCGCGGCGGCGGCGGGCGCAGCGGCGACGAGTGCGCAGCTCCGCCTCTGTGGCCAGGGCGGGTGGGCGGGTCGAGGGGGCGGAGGCTCAGCGCTTCGCAGAGGCGCGCAGGGCGGCGAGGACCGCCTGCGAACCCGACGGAGGCCGAGCCGGCGGCCAGCGGAGCCGACCGGGAGAGGCCGCCCGCTGGCGAGGCCGCCCGCTGGCGAGACCGGTCGTCCCACCACAGGGCCTCGGCGCGGGGCCCAGACCCCCGACGTCGTGATTTTTTCACAACGTCGGCTTTGCATCCCGAGTCGTTTTTTGACGCTCCCGAGGCCCGGTGAGGGCCCCCGGAGGCCGAAAATTGCGAAAAACCTCCCGTCGTGATTTTTTCACGACGCGAGGAGGTCGCGGGGGCCCGGATGCGGCTCTGACTTCCCCGAGGTCCGACGCTACAACAAAACTCGGGGCGGCGGGATTCTGGCTGCGAGTTCGGCCTCCGGTGGCCCTCGCCGGGCCTCGCGAGAGCGTGTCACGAAACGACTCGGGACGAAGAACCGGTCACGGGGAAGTGGTCCAGACCTCCCTATAGGTCCACGCTCCCCAAAAATATTGGAGAAGCCGGATGTCTGGGTCTGGTGCCTGAGCGGGCGAGGTGGCGGATGGTGTGGAGGACTGAGGTGGAGGGGGTTGGGGGAGGATGAGGCGGGGGAGGTGGAGGAGCAGGGTCTGGAGAGGGCGGTGTCAGAGACGGGGCAGCGGCTCCCCAAGAGGACTGTTCGGAGAGCACCTCCAGCGCGCAAACCCTCGCCTCCAAGCTCGGCGACGAATTCAGAGCAGGAGCGGTGGGATAAGAGAGAACGCGAAAGCTGGCCGACTCTTGCGGCCGCGCGCGGCCGCGCGAAGGCCGACTGTTGCGGCCTGGCGACGCCAATTGTCATCGCGCATCCTGGTCGACTTTTGCGGCCGCACGAAGTACAAGGAGGAGGAGGAGGAGGAGGAGGAGGAGAAGGAGGAAGCGAGCAGCGACATGGAGAGGCTCAGAGAGGATAGTGGACAGGCGGAGAGAGCAGAGAGACATAGGAGAAGGGGGGAGAAGAGAAGAGAGAGGAGACCAACCCAATGGGATGAGGACAAGGAGAGGGAGGTGGACGGACTCACGGGCGGACGCTGCAGTGCTCGCCGAAGCGCGGCGCATTGAGGGTGCAGCGGGGAGGCTGGGGCGCTGAGCTGGAGATGGGGGGGGCACGCATGGAAAACCAAGCGCGGTGGCACGAGGCACGCACTGGCAGACGGGCAGTGGCTGAGCAGAGTAGAGAAGAGGGCAGGCGAAACGGGGGCGTGAACACGAGGAGGCACGAAGGAAGGAGAAGAAGCTTAAGCACCACACCACCACCACCACCACCGCCACCGCCACCGCCACCACCACCACCGCCACCGCCACCGCCACCACCACCACCACCGCCACCACCACCATCACCACCACCCCCACCCCCGCCCCCACCCCCACCAGGCAGGGAGAAGCGGCAGGAGTGGGAACGAGTCGGATGATGTGGGCGAAGATCAGGAGGAAGGGGGGAGGTATTGCAGAAACAGTGGGCAGTTGAGGAGCGGGAGTGAGACGAAGCCAGGACGAAGACACATTCGGATGAGGGTAGATCGAATCTCTGAGATCTGGCAGCTCTGGAAGGTGTATCGGGTGCAGTGGCCTTCTCCGAGAGCGTCCCAGAACGCTCTGGAACTGATTTATCCTCGTCCTAGCCTCATCGCCTCCTCCTTCGGCCCTCCCTCCCTCGTCGCCTCCACCTTCGTCCCTCCTCCTTCGTCCCTCCCTCGTCGCCTCCTCCTTCGTCTCTCCTCCTTCGCCCGGAAGGAGAGAACCGGGGGCGGGGGGGAGAGGGAGGGGGGGAAGCGGACCAGCAGCAGAGGCAGGACGAGCAGGACGCACGAGAGGATGGGGATAGTGGACAGGAACATCACGAGGAAGATGAGGAGAAGAAGGGTGGATGGTGATGAGGGTGTGGATGATGAGCAGGAGGATGGAGAGGAAGAGCAGCAACAAAAGGAGGATGATCAGGACGAGGATGAACCAGAGGAGGAAGAGCAGGAGGAACAGCAAGAGGAGGAGGAACATGATGAGGCGGACGAGGAGACGGTGGAAGGGAGGCTGAGCAGAAGGCTTTGGTGATCTGCCAAGGAGACTTAGAATGCATGCTAACCAGCAGATTCACACACGTCTAGCCATTCAAGACCAGCGCCGGCCTACAAGCGCTAGGCCTTTCAAGACCATTGCCAACCACGCCGCAACCTTAGACGGAGGGGGAGGGGCTGATACGGGAAGGACTTCGATCTATACTAGGCCGCTTTACGTGCTCCGCATCAGCTCGACCAGACAGTGCAGCGCCAGCGCAGCTCGTTCGCACAGCCCAACACCTCGCATATCCCAGCCAACACAAACGCTACGCACCACTCCAGTCTTCCTCCCCGAAGAGTCTCCCTCTTCTTCTTCACTATCGCGCAAGGCCCTCGCAGCCCAAGTGCCTAAGTAGGCGCCCGACTGGTCTCGCGCATTGGTAGAGCGCGCCTGCTCCCCTCTACTTTCACCAGCAGCGTAGCACCCACACGAAATGTTTTACACTGCACTGGTGTTGTTCCCCACATCCTAAGTGGGATTCTGGTTTTCGCTGCACACCCTCCGCGCAGGATCTCTCCTCCTCCTCCTCCTCATCATCATCATCATCACTTTCTCTCACTCTCCGTCCCATCATCATCACCATCACCAAAATCATCATCCTCATCGCACTCATCATCATCATCATCATCATCATCATCATCACCCACCCACCACCCACCCACCCACTCACTCACTCACTCACCCACTCACTCACTCACTCATCACCGTCACTCGCTTATGCCACCCGAGTAAGTCTCAGGCGGGAGCCCCCCTCCATATGGGTCCCGCACTTCATGTTGGTAATCCGAACGGGGCATCGGCAACCTGTAACAGTCGTCACTTTTGGGTTCCTCAGGCTTGAATTTGGAGGAAGTATCTAGCGGGAGCCTCGTCTGTGAGTGAATTGTGAGGAAGTGTCAGGCGGGAGCCCCCCCCCTATTGGTCCCCCAGTTCATGTTGGTAACCCGAGCGGGTCATGAGTCATCGGCAACCTGTAACCGTCGTCGCTTCTGGGCTCCGCAAGCCTGGGTTTGGAGGAAGTATCACGCGGGAACATCGTCTGTGAGTGATTTGTGCGGATGCCTCAAGCGGGAGCCCCCCTCCTTATGGGTCCCGCAATTAATGTGGGTAATCCGAGCGGGTCATCGGCAACCTGTAACTGTGCCCCCCCCCCCCAAACTTGAATTTGGAGGAGGTATCAAGCGGGAGCATCGTCTGTGAGTGAATTGTGAGGATGTCTCAAGCGCCCACCCCCCCCTTTGGGTCCCGCATTTCGTGTTGGTAATCTGAGCGGTTCATCGGCAACCTGCTTGCATTTTGGGGGAAATATCACGCGGGAGCATCGTCTGTGAGTGAATTGTGAGGAAGTCTCAGGCGGAAGCCCCCTCCCTATTGGTCCCGCGTTTCACGTTGGTAACCCGAGCGGGTCATCGGCAACCTGTAACTGTCGTCACTTTTGGGCTCCCCAGGCTTGAATTTGTAGAGAGTATCAAGCGGGAGCCTCGTCTGTGAGTGAACTGTCAACCAAACTTGGGTTCATGCTGCCTCCTGCCTGAGCGCGGCTGCGCCCCGCTCGAAGCCCGCGGGGTTGTCCCAACGGTTTGGCCTGCGGGGCTGTCCCGACCGCCTGCCCCCGCGCCCCAGCGGCCCGCAGGGTTGCCCCAAAGGCTTCGCGAACCAGCCGTCGGGGAATACGCGCGCCCTGGCCGCGGCGGCGACGGCGCCGAGGAACATCGATTTGCTTGCCCCGACCAAGGGGAAGGGAGGAACGCGCGGAGAAGAAGCAGGGGAAGGAGGACGGGGAAGGGGTATGGAAGGGGTGATGATGATGATGATGATGATGATGATGATGATGATGATGATGATGATGATGATGATGATGATGATCATGATGATGATGATGATGATGATGATGATGATGATGATGATGATGATGATGATGATGATGATGATGATGATGATGGTGATGATGATGAGGAGGAGGAGGAGGAGGAGGAGAAATAGAAGGAGGGGGAGTAGGTGAGGGCAGAACGGCAGGCGAGAGGAGAGTGTCCGTCAGGGCGAGGAGGAAGAAAAGGGTAAGGGCAAGCCAAAGATATTCTCATGCGGGGTCCTTCCGTCGGAGTAATTTTACTCGTCTGCGGCTAGGTCAGGCTAAGCGAGGTGCTACCCGCAACGTTATGCTTGCGGCCGTTTTGGCCGCACGGCAAGGACCCCCCCCTGAGGGACATCGTACTGCGACTGCCACTGCGCTCGCCACCCGCACCCACAACTTGCAGCCGCCCAAATGTCGTCTTACTGTGGTCTCCTACTTGTTCGGTGCTCTTGTCTAGCTACGTCTCATGGTACAGGGCTGGTTCCCTTCACCTCACCTCGACAAGTTGCGCGCCTACTCCACGCCCTTGCGGGATTAGGTACTTGCAGCTCTCGCTCCCCACCTTCCCCACCGATTCGGCGTGTTGGTTGCACCCCGCATTCGATGCGCGTTGCTCCTGAAACCACTGCGTATGGCCTGAGTCGGTTATGGTTGTGCTGCACTACATGCCGGCCTCTTGACGCTACGGTTCATCCTGCCAAGATTGGTGCAGCAACACGGTGGACAGGGGAGGGCAGCTCTGGATGCCGTGGCCAAGGTGCTGCACTCCCTGCGGGAACGAGGCCCCCGAGGCGCCGCGACGAGGTCGGGCGGACGTCGACAGGCCACCCGAGGCGAGAGCCAACAGAGACCGACGAGCGGCGGCGGCCAGGCCGATCGGCCAAGACTGGGGTGCAGATGCGCCAGGGGGAGGAGGAGGAGGAGGAGGAGGAGGAGGAGGAGGAGGAGGAGGAGGAGGAGGAGGAGGAGGAGGAGGAGGAGGAGGAGGAGGAGGAGGAGGAGGGGAGGAGGAGGAGGGAGGAGGAGGAGGAGGAGGAGGAGGAGGAGGAGGAGGAGGAGGAGGAGGAGGAGGAGGAGGAGGAGGAGGAGGAGGAGGAGGAGGAGGAGGAGGAGGGAGGAGGAGGAGGAGGAGGAGGAGGAGGAGGAGGAGGAGGAGGAGGAAGGAGGAGGAGGAGGAGGAGGAGGAGGATACCTACCTTCCACGGCCGGCGTGCACCGGGCACCGACCTCCCCCCCCCTGGAGCTGGAGGAAGCGGAGCGGGGCCCGAGGCCCTCCTGGGCTCGGCACGGCGGCGGCCGAGCACTGCGGGAGCCCGCGCGAACAGCGTGCCCCAGCAGAGCGGCAACCTCCTCCTCCTCCTCCTCCTCCTCCTCCTCCTCCCCCTCCTCCTCCCCTCCTCCTCCTCCTCCTCCCCCTCCTCCCCCTTCCCCTCCTCCTCCTCCTCCTCCTCCTGCTCCTCCTCCTCCTCCTCCTCCTCCTCCTCCTCCTCCTCCCTCCTGCTCCTCCTCCTCCTCCTCCTCCTCCTCCTCCTCCTCGGCAGCCAGCCGCAACTGGAGGAGGAAAGAACGGCGCAGGCAGAAACTTTTGGCGCTCCGCGCGGGTGCCTCAGATCTGCGCCGGACCCCGTTCCCTGGCGCGCGGAGCGCGCCAGGTGCGGCGCTGGAGGCGCCGCCTGGGGGGCCCAGCGCGGATCCAAGAAATCCGCGCGGAACGCCAAAAGTTTATGTTTATGGTTAAATCGGGCGTGTCTCCTTACAGGGGGGTTTTCGACAAAATAAAACATACTCAAAAGATATCCCCCACATGGCGAAAAATACAAAAAAAACCTCGGACTATTCTTTTCAATCGTATTTTTCCCGACCTAGGCTCTGCCTAGAAGGGTTCTTACTGTCATCGCTTAAAGAGCTGGGCAGTGCTACGCGCCCCGGGCGGTTCCCCCGGTCCCCTGGGAGCAAGCAAAAGCAACAGCAAAGGTAA